ACAAACAACACAAAACCAAGGTCTTAAAGAAAGTATTAGTCACTCAGAAAAAACACCACCACACTAGAATAGTAAACTGCCTCGTGTTGTGTTTAGGAATACGAATCCCATAAAAGACGTGGAGATAAAATCCTACTTGGGATTATATTACTTCCCCTGTTCTCTGGTAACAGAGCTGCCCCTCACCTGCAGTCCACCAGCCCTGGTTTCCATTAACCTGGTGAACTACCACTCACGTAACTGATTATGATGCTGAACTACCACTCACGTAACTGATTATGATGCTGTTCACCGCCGTTGCGTATGTGAAAAGGCCTTCTGTATCTAGGTCTCCGTACTGTCTGTGGTCTTGGGCATCCCTGTGTCTCACAACACATCCCTCCAGGAAACTAGGGTGGGGTCAGGAGAGAAACCATTGTGTTGCAGGTGACAATCATGAAATGACCTAACAGAAACCAAAAGCCACTGATAACGACTTGGGGCAAAGTTCACCGTCTACACGCCATGTCCACCTGGCTGTGGGTTAAGTTTGGAGAGAAGAAGAGGCCAAGTGCTTTTCAAAATAGCACTTCCACGTGGACACAGCTGGAGTCCTGAGCACTGCAGGCAGGACACTCCTCGCAGGATGCCTCTGCCCTGACTTCCCAAGCCACCTGCAGGCCGCGAGGGTGTGGCCTGGGTTTCTAGCTTTTAAGGCAGCCCTGCTTCCTCTCCATGTCACACACATCTCTCTCCCACCTCAGGAGTAACAGAAAACCGGCCAGACCGGGACCACAAACAGTGACTACACACAGCAGTGTGTCTGACATCCCCATGTGCTTTCCCTGGTCCGCATTACTAATAATGCTCTCTACATTATGTCTTCTTATCAACCGATTTAAAGCCCTTGAGCCGTAAGATATACACGTCACACACACCTGTGTGTGTGTGTCAGCCAGACGGAGGCACAGCGGCCGGATGCGTGGAAGGGGGGATTTTTGTGACCACTCTTGGGTGTGCCAGCGTCAGCTCGGGCCCCGCACATAGTCTCTGGGTCAGCAGCGCAGCCTGCCGTGAGCTCACGCTGACCCGTGTTTCCCGGATGCATCCCTGAGGGCTGTGCACGCACCAGCGTGCTTGGACAGAGGCAGAGGCAACGCAGGTGAGCGTGGGCACGACGCTAGATTTCAGGCGCGGCGTGTGTGGTTGAGGGACACCCAGCGCGGTCAGGACATCATGTTGCTGAGGCTGAGGGGGCGGCTCTGAGGAGACCAGCACTCGTCTAGGCAGAGGAAGGAGATGGCCCTCCGGCAGGCAGGCAGGGCCATCAGCTGAACTCTTCAGCCCGTGAGTCAACTACAAAGGCAGAGAGGGAGGCAAATCTAACTGTTTCTGTGGGAACCGAGGCGTCCATCTGCCCCTGGGCCCTCGGGTCTCCTGGGCCTCTGGCCTCTGCCAGGCTCTCGCCACCAACTCTCTGGGACTCCTAAGCCTCCACACTCCCACGGGCCGACTCCTCCAGCGACTCTCGCAGTGTAGACGGCTCTCTACCCTTCGGATTCTGTTTCTACAGAGAACGCTGACTGATACACAGGGCACGCTGCGTTTCTATAGTCAATATTGCTAATTGAGCCCACGGCTTCAAAACACTTGTCCTGATGTTTATCTCGCTATCTGGCTTTCGCTGCAGTTATGACTCCTCTGTATCGCCTCTGAGCTCAGCTGACGGGAAAAGTCAGCACTCCTCCTGCGCCACCCCTCCTGCAATGCACATACTCACACGCGGCGGAGAGGCCCCCTCAGCAGGAGCTTCTGTGGTCACCGGTTCAAGTGCAAACACACTCGCAGGATGAAGCCAAACAGGGTTGACAAACGATTTCGGTTTTGGCTTTTCAAATCACGTCTGATCAAATCTCCACTTCTGAGTGCGTCTCTTTAAAATTCTGGGTCACAGAGGAAGGAGGACCCCTGGGAGCGCACGGAGGCGCCGAGGCCGGCTCGTGGCCGAGGCCGGGGTGACTGAGTCGGGAACAGTCAGTCTTTAAATGGAGACCTGTGCAGCCCGTGTGGCCCTGAGAACAGGCAGCGCCACCCCGCCTCCCCTTCACCCACTTTCCTCCACTGGCAACACCTGGCGGCACGAGGGGGCCCCAGCGAGAACAGATGCTGACACGGCCAGGGGTGCGCTCCCTCCCGCTGGGCCCCAGGACGGCGCCACGGCTGCCCCCACTGCCTACCACCATCGTGTCCCTGCTCCTGTCATTTAAGACTTCTGCTCAGGGGGAAGCTCACCGGGAGCGGTGGCTGGGGGACGGAGGCAGCCAGGAACGGAGACTCAGCTGCCGAGGAGAAGAGACTTGGGGTGTGTTTGGATTTGAGCCGGCGGGGAGCCAGGGTGCTGAGTGCCCGGGCCCCTGGCACGGTGGGGTTTGTTGCAGCCTTTCAAGGTGACTAGTTCAAAGTACAGGAGATCATTTTCACAAACCATGTGAAAAACGTAATAAGGGAGAAAAGACAGGGTGAGGCCAAACGGCCTCTGTGCAGGCACTTCAATAGCAGCAGGTCACAAGTGGATGGAATTTCCACACCAGAGACAGTGACCGGCCACCGTCAGCATTTACTGTGGCGAAGAGAAAGAAACTGAGTTTCATTCAACCACTAATAGCAGCCAGGCTCTGAAGGCTGCTGAGGGGCCCAGTCAACAGCCACCTGTCACATCATCGCCAGGGCGGTCTTCAGAGGCTGCACAGATGTTCTCGTCCCCACAACTTTCCACACATTTGCAGAATTTAAAAAACAAACTGTTTCCTACTTTCACAAAGATGCATTTGTTGTAATGGTCAAGGTAGGGCCTTCCAGCAAAAAGAAGACCCTCCTCCCCCAACTCTTCATCAATGCACCGTGAGGCCCAGCCTGCCCGCAGGTCAGTAAATCAGGGAGGCCAGACAAAGGGGAATGAGCTGGAGGGAGGGACAGTGCATGGTGAGCTTCCGCCAGACTCAAGCACACAGGGCCTGCTCTGTGCGAAACAGAGCTGGAAGGCAGGCAAGGCCTGAGTGTGCAGGCTTGGTAAGTCTTCCCGAGAGGGAAGGAGAAGGACCCCCAATGCTCTGTGGCTCATGGACTGACAGTGGGGAGCGGGCACCAGTCAGGAGTCAACCTGCTAGCACAAGGTGGAATGGTGGAATGCTGGAAGGCTGGGTGAGGGAGCGTGCGGGAGGATGGAGAAAATGTATCACTGTGTTTTCTGTGTAGTGAATCTCAGCTGTGGGACAGACAGGTCTCTTAATGTTTGGGGGCCTCAAGTTCACCATTTGGGAGGTAGGACTAGACTCTTCCATGCATTAAAGTCAGGTGGAGATCAGAAAATCATGTATCAAAATAATCTTGCTGGTTATGTGTGGCTTATACACTACTTTTTACGCTCCAGAACTCTTAGCTCCATCTTAATTTATGGTCAGAAGACAAACAGGCATCTCTGTGTTGCATTTTAAGTTGTTTTTACAACAGGTATTCCACAGCAGGTATTCCAAACAGCCAGAGAAAACTTAAAGACCTACAAAAGCAGTACACCCTGGAGCATCACAGTGCCAATCCTGCCCCAGGTAAAGCCGGTGGAGTCACAACCAAGTATCCAGGGAGCGTTCATAAGCCAGAACAAGTTCAGCCTAAAGCGTGTCGCCTAGAATTCAGCAAGACACCGTGCTGAACCTAAGTTTCAGAAGGATATTCTACTACTGTCTCATCCTCTTAAGTAGCAAAGTAGTAACACACACTGCCACAGACGATGTCACAAGAGCATAAAAGCACAAAGGACAATGGTAATCTCCAAACTCAGAGCAGAGGTCACTGAAGGCATAGGAGCGTCACGGGGCTTGCAGTTTTACGTGTGATCTTTCATTTCTTAAACTGAGTAGCAGACACAAAGATGTTTAATCTGTAATCTCCTAGCCCCTGAACCTTGCGTGTGCCTTAAGTATTCCGCAGGAAGCCCAGACCATCTTTGATTTGAGAACCATGCGGTGACATGGTGGAGCTTAGCAGCAACGAAGCCCCGACCCAGTGGTGGCACGAGCCTCACCGCCCGAGGGGATGGCCAGGCCATGTCAGAATCTGCCTTTCTGGGTGGGGGGGCCCGTGGTTCCCACGCACAGCCTGGTGTGGGGCTCTCAGTAACCTGCTAGCTATTAATGACCAACCCGCCAGCCAACCCAGCTCCAGTGCATCAGAGACTGCAGAGCCGACGACAGCCTCGAGCTGTGCACTAGATGCAACGGACAGAATGTGTAATCTGAGCGCCGAACCATAGAGAATGCCTAACGCAGAGTTTCTGACACTCCCCCAAGATGACTCGTGCAGACCCGGGTATTTTCTGAGGTCCGTATCAAGTGATGGCACTGCAGGACGGAAGTCCTCCGCGACATCTTTGGGGAACAGCCCACCGCGGGCCCACAGCACGAGCGGGAAGAGGCCGTGCTTCTGGATAAAGTGGCCACGGCCACAGCCCTCGTGATGGCCTCCCCTCAGCAGTGTGCCCACACTGCCAGGCGTCTTCCCTCCCTGGCTTTATTTTCTGGTAATAAACTCAAAGCTAAAATTGGCCTAGAGACATGTACATAACGTGCAACATAAACACATGTGCCCGAAGCCAGAAGTACTCAATAGCGCTGCGGCCTGAGGCCGGGTCCTGCCTCTGCGAAGTGAGGACCGGGCGGCCGGGCCGTCAGACTGCGCCCAAAACCCCGGGTGGACGGACCTCGCCAGTACCCCGACATCGCGAAGGGGCGCGCGGAAGACCTGGGGAGGTCGGCTGATTTTGGTGCTGGGACTTC